TATCCAAAGGGTCATATGAAAATGACCTATAATTGCAGATTGAAGTTAGTATCTCAAACCCTCAAAAAGACAAAAAAAAAAAAAAAAGGTTAATGTGGTGTTTGGATTGCAATTTTCTATCCAAAATTTCTTACGATTTCATGAATAAATTTCTTAATCACTTTTTGCTTCGCATATATCAAATCACTACATTATGTTTTTCTACAGAAACTCCAAAAAATAACAATTCAAAAGGATAATCTGCCTCTTGGCAAATTCATTTGCCAAATCTAGCTCATTAAATTTTTCCAAAACGGCCCATTTTGCATTGTGAGTCGTCATTCAATATCTCTCTAATTGCTCAAATGATTTTTGACTTCTTTGGCATGATGCACCATTTTTTTTCTCTCTTCTTTTGTAATAGAAAGTTTAAATAGTTTCAATTCTAGTCACCATCAAGACATATTTCTAAAATTATAGATCTCTTACATATATTTACATAGAAAAAATAGCGCCATCACAGTCCATAACTTGATTTTGAGTTACGGACGCCCTATGGCCGTTCGATCACTTTGGAATAAAATGTTTACCTGCTTGTCTAGTTATGTAAGCAAAGCAAATCAATTTATATACTCCTCTCCCATAGTTCCAAATTTTGCAAACAGCCCCCTCAGCCTCATTGCATTGTCAATCTCTTGTATTCACAAGCAACCTTAACCATCTCCTTCACCTTGTATGAACAAAACTATTGCCTTTTGCCATGATTTTCGTGGCATTTTTTGCTTTCACAATTCACGATTAGTAAAAGAAAAGTTCAAAATCTCACAAATCAAGACAACCTTGAATTTGTTGTACAACTCAGTTGAGAATCAGGGTTTAAACAAGAAAGGTAGAAAAATTGAAGGGCAACACCAAGTTGTCTCACCCTCAAACTCAACATTCTATACCTTCTTGTCTTCCAAATTATCATTGGGTTTTGTGCAACCTAATTCTTGAGTTTTTGATAGTTGTGTGGGTGCCCTAATTATTATTTTGTACCAAAATTGAATAATAAACATTTTGTATTCAGGGGACCTAGAATGAAGTAAAAGAGGCACAGTAAAGAAGGGTGAGTAAAGGAAGTAGACAAGGTAAAGGCAGTGGAAGCCAAGCAAAGGTAGGGAAATGGGGAATAGACGGAGAAAGGGAACACCGACACATGAGAAAAAAATTAAGTAAAATTGGGGCTATGTATAAATTAGCAATGTTGAAGGAGTGTTTTGTGGTATTACAAAAATTTGTTATAATAGGTGACCGTAAGTTTGTAGATCACTATGTCTGTGATCTAAGTATGGCTCATTTACATATTTATAGATTATCTATTAACACAACTCTCACATCTATAGTTAGACTCGTATACATAACTGATTTTGTGAGGAAACGCTTCATCCTTATCAACTAAACCAAACGTTAATGCATGGTGCAGCTAAACGTGTTTAAGAGTAGCAATGGGGCAGGGGAAGGATTCCTCACCCCCCGTCCCATTGTCAAATAACTTTCTCATCCCTTGCCTCTTGCCTCCTGCCCCACTCCCACCCCGTTTCGCCCTCAATCCCTGTGGGGGAATAAATCAACCTATCATATTTAACAATCTACTTATTTATGGGACAATTTTATCATTTATTCTATTTCAAAATATTTAATAAGAAATGCTTAAGTACTCAACTTTAAACCATTTAACGAGTTGCAAATACTAGTAACTAAAGAATATTAGCAACCTGTCAATGGCATGAAAATAACATTAAAATATTCAACTGAGATGCTATAGAATGAAGTCACAATTATATGTTCACAATTATGTTATTAATTATATTATTAAATATAAAAAATTGAATTATAACTAATTGTGTGTGTATATATATATGTATTATATATACATCTATAAATTTAAACACATATATATATAATTTTTTTTGTATGTTGAAGATGGGCCGGGTGTATGTTGTCCCACCCCCGTCCCGTTTTAAGGCGGGGAAAATTTTTTGCCCCTGCCTTCGCTCCGCCCCGCCCCATTTCTACCCTAGCGCACCAGCTCCCGTTGCCACCCTGAAATGTGTGGACTAGGGCTGCAAACGAGCCGAGTCGAGTCGAGTTGAGTTTTGACCTAATCGAACCGAGTCTCAACATAATTTCATTAAACTCGAACTCGAGCTCGAGTTCGACGAGCTGACAATTTCAACTCGAGCTCGAACTCGAAAAAAATAAAAAAATAATATTTTTTTCTTAATAAATAATAAAATATTAAGGATATATATGTAATTTTACTATTAAAATTATAAAAATATAAAATATATATATACTTAAAATAAAAAAAAATATATATATACTTAAAATAAAATATATATATATATATACTCGAGCTCGCAATCCAAGAATCGAGCTCAAGTCGAGCTTGACTCGAGCCGCTTGATTCATTTGCAACCCTAGTGTGGACAAAGGGCACAGACGGTTGCAGGTGCAACCGTCCCCAACGGTTTTGGTCATTTTCAACAGCGCGTAACTTTGATTACACACGGCGTAACTTTATTTGCACATAGTGTAACTTTAATACAAAATTTTGCGGGCCCCACACACGGTATGAAAATCGATGCACAACTTGTTATCTGGACTGCACAAAATTTTTTGGCCAAATCATGGCCTTTTAACTGCTCAGGGACCGTCCCTGCCCCATTTCCGAAATGTGTTGCGTATCATTCTTTCCTGGTGCAATGTGCATTGTTAACAGTCATGCCATCTAAAGTATGCTTTGCCTACTGCCCTGCCCTATCAGAAAGGAAATAAGACAGGCAAAAATGAAAAGATGTACTAGTATAATGGAAGATGTGGCAGGTCCCGACATCACTTGAATAGACGTAACCATCCATTATTCTTGATCACATAGAGAAGTCAGCCCAATATCAAATTGGTTAGCTAGGCCCAAAAATCAATATCTTTTCCCATAAAAAAAAAAAAAAAAGAAATATTCCCTTCTGACCCGAATAAGTAATAATAAACGTTTATGGAGCACTAGAGTAGCTCAACCAAATGACCAATACTGCTACGAAAGTTCCCGTTCGGATTGCTATTTTAGAATTTTTTTATAAAAAAATATAATGTAATAATTTGATATATTTGAGGTAAAAATTTAATTAAAAATATATATTTACAAAAAACGTAAAAAAAAAAAAAAAAATTTGCAAAAAATCACAATCCAGAATGCTCAATTAGACTTGGATATTTAGAATTATTAATCCATAATGTTACTAAATTGAAATATCTCTTTATCTACTGCTTATAACATGTATTTAGAATTGCTGGTATTATGATATCTATGTATAAAAGATTAATCTCATATGCACGATTTAGTTTTTATGCTCTTAACGTATAAAAATTTGTCTAAATGAATTTACTAAAGTAAATAATATTCAGTGGAGGAAACAATAAAGAGGAAGTGCTGTTATGACACGTGTCAGTCTTTCATTGAGTCTTTTACAGCACACTCAAAGATGATTTGTCCCTTGATTTCCCCGAACACTATCCTACCCAGCTGGGAGCCGGAAGCCAAAAAGACTCATGGGAGTTGGATAGCTAGGAAAACTACGGTGGAAGATAGTCTGGAAGAAGTGGTGGCAGATGTCTCATGGCCACAACATCCATAACTATATCCCCTTCACATCTTCCAACGTCTTTAGTTCTCAGGCCTAAGCCTCATGCATTGGTACCTTCCTCTTTTCCCTCAAGGAGAAAATTATCTTATCCAAATCCACCCTGCGCGCTTCCTCTAAAAACCGGTAAAGGATGGAAAATTTCTGCTTTTAGGGACAGTTTTTTGCTTTTAGAGGCGAGCACCGTTGAGAATTCCCAAGAACTGGTCTCCGCAGGTGATGATGGTGCATCCTCCATCATATTTGCACTGCTGTTCGTTGCTTTCGTAGGCTTATCTATTCTCACCGTTGGGGTAAAAACTCAAAGCTGCAGCCTTTTTTGCACACACATCTGCAACTCTCTCTTTTTTTTTCTTTCTAATTTCTTGTGAGAATTTCCAGAATTAAATTTGATGGGGGTGCTCAGATTTGTGATATCCTGACGTGGGTTGCTGCTAATTTTTCATGGTTTTGATCGCTTTCTCAGGTAATCTACATGGGTGTGACGGATTTCTTGCAAAAAAGGGAAAGAGAGCAATTCGAGAAAGAGGAGGCAGCTGAGAAGAAGAAAAGGGTTAAGAAGGGGAAGATGGGAAGTAGAGCAAGAGCTGGGCCTAGAGGTTTCGGACAAAAGATTGAGGAGGACGGTGGTGATGAATTAGATTAGAAAAGAAAACAATCGCTTAGGATTATTCTGCGATTTTTTCATGTTTTGTTTTTTCACGCGTTCTAATGTTTCCTCCTTTTTTTTTTTCTCAATTTTTGGTAAGAAATGTTTCTGTATTGCATAACGGAATGGCAATGATTTTTTTGGTTTTAGTTGTCATAAGAGCTGATTAGAGATCGTCAACGTTTGCTGCTTATGGTTATAATTGCTCAAGGCACATATAAGGGGTCTCTCTTCCTCCCCCGCATCCACAATTACATTACATAAGCTGTCGACGAGTGCAAAGCATTGAAAAATATTTAATGTAACTCAGGAGAAATGGTTAAATTTTTTATCACTCGATTTTCTGCCTTTTCAATTGCCGTCTTCTTTAGCCCTCTGCGCTGGAAGAAGGAAGAGGATGGTTTAAGGCTCTGCTAGATGCAGCTGCATTACAGCCTAAAACTTACGGTGCTTCAAACACCGGCAAGACACAGCTAAGCTTCGAGTTCTCAGAGACCCTGGCCATCCTTCGGCGGGCAGCACAGTAATTCACAACTAGATTTCCTCCACTTGGACGAGTTTTTATCCCATTTAATGATCAATGAGAGTACAAGAATGGCAACCTTACGAACCATTCAATGTAACATCCCCAGATAAAAAATCAACGTAATAGACTATACTAAAACACAGAAATAGCTAATACCACAAAATTGAAACATGGCAGATCAGAGAGAATTTAAATATACTTTGGCCATGACATGAAAATTGTCAATACCTTACATGATAAAACTTTCTGGCTCTCACCTAAAAGATCAACTCTCCACAAGGCAACATTTGTACAGTCGCGATGAAACATAAACTACCTCACATTTTATCCTTTTTACATGCATTAAACACGTGTTGTCATTTATCTCCTCTGCAAGGCGACCAGGAACACTTGACATCCGAGCCTCGGCTTACTAGATTCTACGTATAAACCTTAAACTACACAATGTACAGGTTTCTAGTACAAGCAACAACTTTATTTGCAGTCGCCCAAGACACCTGTTGAAGACAGGCATAGGGCACGAACACTAGATTCCGGAGAAAGAGAAGAGAGGTAGCTCAAACTATCCTCTGTTAGCTGTACAACTTCCTTTCCTATCTGATCTAAGCAGGATGTGGGTTCTGAAGAGCAATTCTCCTTTCTGCACACAATCAAGGTAATTAGTCAATTACAAAATGCGCCTTACCTGATTGAAATAAGTTGCATCACCAAAATAACTAAAGACGTTCCAGGAGAATTGCTGAACCTTCAACAGGCCTACAGTTATTAGTTAATTACTAACAGGCATCCGAACAGCCCTCTAAAGCATGAGTAATTCCACACAATATTAGGTTACCGAAGGTTATTATAGGCCTTTTATTGCCACAAAATTGCTCGAGAGAGTCAAAAATTACCACCAGCAGACGCAAACAAGCAAAAAGTAAAATTCAGGTTTAGGTCTGAATTTCTGAATCCAGGACACCAGAAATTTGCAAGAAGCTATTTGGGCATCCCTGTGAATTCTTTTAGGTAACTACAGAAGACACTAACTTATTAAGAAAGCAACTACATACCACCAGCAGCAACAAGTTTCTCTACCCGCGCAACAATATGCTTCCCATATGTGTATTTCTTCAGAGCATTCAGATGAACTTTGATTCTTGACAAGATCAATTCCCGTTGCTGATCGCTGCAAGTTTCCAGCACTTTCTGTACAACATAATTTGCGAATTGATCTTTCATCATTGCCTGCATAGAGAAGCATAAAGAGGCAGGCTGTTAAAACAACCAATCTTCTACTGAACTTTTGCATAGCCTGAAATCAACTTCACACTGTTTCTTATTCATAGGCTGCTATAATTTGCATAATCAAACTTTTTATAGCCCTTGCGACTCTCAGATTACTAAACGTGAATCATTTATAAGGGGAAGAAATGACAAACCTGAAGAGGCTCATTCTCGTCAGTTGTACCAAGCATCTCATTCACCAGAAGCTGACGTTCACTAGGATCACCAAAAGTCAAACACTTCTCAACTACATTTGAGGCAAATTTCTGCTGACTCATTTGGACAATCTTTCCGGCTAGCTCCTGAATTATAGCAGTACGCTCATGTGGCTTGCCATGCTCCAGTACATGCTATTACAAGTAAAGCAAGATCAGAAGAAGGTTCAAGGAATTGGAACCCAGTAAATATACCCAAACCGCGCAACATGACGTCAGGAATTGTTGACAAGATAATATCTACATTAAACCATCACAACTGCTCAAATTTATAGCACCTATGATTACTGCCAATGACACTAATCTCTGAGAACTAAGATTTAAATAGTCGATTCATTTGTATTTGCGTGTTTTATAGCTTCCTACTTGCATTCTAAAAATTCCAGCACTCGAGTGAAATTCTAAACCAAAAAATGTTCATCTACGAAACAGTTAGGAGTTGGAGGTATAAAAAACACCAATAATATGAACAACCCTCCATGAGATTACCTTCGAAAATCCCCCTCCCCTTCCCCCTCCCACCAATCCACCATATTAAACAAGGAAGAAAATCAATCAAAAGTGAGAAATGAAGAACTGACAGAGTAAAAACTAGAACTGCATCCAAATAGTACTCAAGCAATCTCAAAACCAAAATACAATCAAGTGATCACCTATTCATGATCAAATCAAGAAGATACTTATCAATTTGACAACAGTTGCAAGGTCAAGGAAACCAAATTGACATTTTTGGACTATAAAACACAAAAATTTGATCTTTCACAGCAAATGAAGAAAAAAGCTAAACATAAAGTGCAAGGCGAGTTCTTTTCAGAAAAGTATGAACCTGAACAACATAATTGCCATATTGATCCTGCGCCAACATGCTCACAGATCCAAGAATCTCTTCCATCACTTTGCTTTGAGTTTTTGGGTCACTGCAGTGTTCCAGGACTCTCTGCCATACAAAGAATGTTGAAAGGTTCAGATGGCATTGATCCCTTTGATAGGGTATGCTTTAAAATATTAATTCTGAAGCATAAGTATGTATGGACCTGTATCACGCGACACCCATAAGGATGGGTAGAAAGAGTAACAACTTGGCCAAAGAAAGTGGAGACAATAAATTGAATATGATCTTCTGGGACACATTCAATGCACTTCTGGATAACATGGTTTCCATTCTGATCACGTACACAGCGCATGACATGCCCATCAAGCTCTTCAACCATTTTAATCTTCTGGTCCACGTCAACTACTTCAATAGCCTAAAAGAGTCAACGAAATTTACCATGACGATTCAGTTAGATGAGGTTTAATTTCAAAATAAGTTTGATACAAGGCAATCAACCACAGATACTCCATCCACAACTTGATAGAAATCCTAGCAGGAAAACCAACATTAGAACATGTAAACTCAATCCAAAGTATTACCTTCTGTATAACTCGACAACCATACATTTGAAGGCTGAGGTAAGCACATGCCCAAAGAGCTTGCTAGCCAATTCTCTTCTTTGAGCTGCCATTCCATGTTCAAAGAACTAAAATGAAGAAAAAGCTGCTAAAAGTCAAATACTAGACATTATGCAGAAATCCAATTATATGGGTCAAAATGCTAGCAGTGACAAAGATTCCAGAAAGAAGAGACAGCTATGCCAAATACCTTTTGGATCACATAATTACCAAACACATCAGTCATCAAAGTAAGAGCTTGAGGAATAATCTCCTCAAAGACCATGTTTTTCTCTTCAGTTGTTGCAGTTTCAAGTTTCTGTTGAATGAAACGACTTGCCATACTGATCCGCACTGATCATAAAGAATACAAGTCAATAGAAGTCAGTATTATCAAAAGGAAGTCAAACATGTGCAAGTCAGCATATACCTGAACTCGACAACATGCCCTGCAATTTCTGAGAGCTCAAAACACTTGGTCTTATTACTCTTAAACTCTTCTAGCAGCGAGGACGCAAAGCTATTGTCTATATTATCCAAGTGCCAAGGCCCCATGACACCTCCAGCTAAGTTTCTCATTCCACCAGGAAATCTCATGTTAAAATCATTGTGCCTTAGGGGACTTCCAGGTGCACCAGGAGAATTAGGAATGACTGGACTTGCTAGTGGATTTCCAGGATATGATAACCCAACACCAAAAGCAGGATTCCCATAATAACCATGATGATTGGAACCGGTATTCTTTGTACCTGCAGGAACACCATATGGCGATTTCTGAGGAGATAGCACAGAGCCAAGATAGGCCTTTTGAAGCAAGTCCATGTATGAATTGCCCATATAGTTCCTATCCAATGAAGGATCATTAAGTGCAGCAACCTGGTTAGCAACATACTCAGCTGTCCTCAAGTACTGCAAATAGGCTGGATCCATATAAGGTGACTGCAAACCATTCCCTGCCATCTGATTCCCCATTCTACTAAGATTATGCTCTGAAACAGGAGAGCCTATATTTGATCCACCTAGATTCTTGAGTCCATTCCAGGGACAGCCATGGCGGATGCAGCGGCAGCATTTTCAAACAATGGCGGAAGATTAAAGTTGCCAAGATTGCCCGTCAGTGGATTCACTGTGTAGCCACTTGAATTGTAATTTGAAAAAGAGGAGTTTGGACTATCCAAATGTGGGTACTGTGAGAGTAGGCCACCACCGCCATTAAGCATGTTGGAGGTAAGATCCTTTTTGGTATGAATTATTACGAAGAATGCCAGTTTTCCGAGAGTCAGTTTGAAGAGCAGAGTTACTAAGGTCTGAACCACTGCTGTTGCTAAGACCAGAGTCAGACTTAAAGTAACCATGCTGCTTTGAATTGTTCTGACCACCCGGCAGGTTGAAAAGATAATTTTTATGGTCATCAACATCTTGATCAATTTGAGATGCCAAACGATTCTCTTCATCTACCACACCATTTGAAAGGTTCATACCAGACAAAGCAGCTACTAAATCTGCCGAATCATTTGCCTGAGATGAGACCGCGTTAAAGGAGCTTGGACTATTAATGTTTCTCTTTTCTGAAGTGCTTGCTCTTCCTCCACCAATAGGAGCAAGGCCAGGACTAGGAGCCCTTGCAATACGCTGGGGATCAGGAGTGGTACTTCTAGACAAGGAAGCACCCAAAGCAGCAGCATATGAATATGATGTGGGTGGTCCAACATGTTGAGCAGCAGATGCACTCTGAGCACTGACAGTAGAACGTAAAGGGTCAGTAGACGCTAAATCGCGGTGAAGTTGAGCCATCTCAGCTTCTGCAGGGCCCAAAGGATCAGCATTTTGATCAAGAGCATTACGGCTAGCTGGGCGTGAAGGGTGTCCTGATGCAGAAGTTGCTCGGCTTAAGTCATCCTGCAAAATCCAAGTTTACAGCAGAGAATGAGCAAACTATATTTCGTCACAATAAGAATAAGCAAGCACAACTGCATGCCTTGTGCAGTTAACCACCAGAATTGATGACAAGGGCATTAACAAGCTAAATCATTCACAGTCTAACTTCTCATTACAAAATAAGGAATAAAGAACGAATAAGCATACAAAGGATCAATCTGTTGCGCATCATTGCGGAGAAGATATTTCCTAACATGATTTATGTGCTACATTAACTGGAAATTGCATGGATCAAATGAAATTATCCTACAAACTTGTAGAGATAGCCAAACACTGACTGTCCACTATCTGAAACATAAGAATTGTATAACTCGCGTAGCAACAACTGAACACCATGTTTTAGATTAGTTGGCACACGATTGGCAAATATAGCAGGTATAGATTCTTCTCAACCACTTCTTATGGTTTTTTGTACAGTACTTTCAACAAATTATAATTGGATCACTGTATTAATTTCTTTCTTCATACCTATGTGTGGAATGGCTCTTTGAAAACAAAATGCATTATTCAAGGAAAAAGGAAAAAGGTCTTGAAACTTCATTGAAATCCAATACCATGACAAATGTGTGAGAGAGAGAGAGAGAATTAGAAACCATGAATTTGAGCAAACCATCATTCCAAACCTTTTATCAGGATAAGAGACTAAATAAGCTTGAATTTTTTGCATTACTGACCAGGAAATCTTGGTGAACCGAATCACAATTTACATGTTTTTTCGTAATGAATCATAAAACAGAGGAAAGGAAGCTTAGGAAAATGTTAAAGCAAGCAGTCAAGCCTGAAGTTAAACAGAATGATTAAACTATGCTGCCAGTGGGAGAAAATGGCAACTTTTAATCATTAGAGAGCAGGAAGTCACAATAACAAGGGCATGCCAGAAAACTACAAAAATTGAAACAGAGACCAAAATAGAGGCACTACGCTCACCCACCAAGAGTAAACATTCCAGTAATGAAATCACAGACAATCAGGTCTAGAAGTTGAAGATGCAAGAAATATTGTCAAGCCGTTGGAAGACATGAACACTGTGAACTAACAGCAATCCAAGGACAAATCGACCTTGTATTTCTCTAAATTCCCATTCAATCAGGCAACTAACATGCATGCAGTTAATCCTTCAGTATCTCAAATCTAAAATTTCTAATGATTATCATTTTTTGCATCATCAGGGACGGGACTGGGTATCACCCCTCCACATTTCAACTTCACAATGTAAATTAGGTACACACAAAATTTCACAAATATATTCACCTGAAATATTTCAGCGAGACTCTTCTGCTTGCTACCTAGCCCTAATCCAGGCAAACCAATCAATCCATCACCACCCCACTCCACTGAACCTTGAACTTTATCTGAATCGTTCTCAGTCTCCTGTTTTTTGGAATTAAAACCTGGTGGCATTGCAAAAAGTGATCTTGTGCCTGCAACGCTATCATTCCTATTCACCTTCCTTCTATCCCCAATTGCAGAACTCCCTCCTTGTAACCTCTGCGCAAACCGCCAATCCTCCTTTGATAACAAAGGAGGTGGCAACCTGGGGTTCAAATTCACATTGGAGTAGTAGTAAGACAAATAAGCAGGATCAGACCTGAGCTCCTCCTCGGACATGAAGCCATTAACACCCTTATCACGGGCAAAGTCTGAAACACAGGGCCACCGCCTCCGCCACACCAACTCCATGGTTAAACAATCCACCTACAGCACTCAATGATCCCTCAACAGTAGGTGGAGCTGACCCACTCCTATACAAATTGAGCTCCTTTTCACGATCATCAGCATCTTCCCTCCTCTGTTCTCGAAGCAACAGCCCTATTTCCTTCTCCAACTCATCTCCAAACGAATTTTCATTGCTCCCAAGCATTGGTCTCCTACCCAAGTCAGATATCATCTTCACCAGCAAAAAACTATCCACTCATTCCACAGGAAAAAAAATTAAAAAGCTTAATCACCAACAACCAACCCTAAAACCCTAGAAAGCAAATACAAATTAGAACCTTATAATCAATTTCACCAAAAACCAAGAGAGTCTTGCAAACAACCCTAAAAGTCAAATCTTTAACCTCATAAAAATGCAATCTTTATCATCATTTTTTTGATATCAGAGCATCAAAAACATATGATCGACAAAAAAAGGCGACAACTTTATCAATCTCCATGATGAATTACTAGGCCAAAAAACAAGGAAAAGCAATTCTAACCAGCATGGTTTTCCCCTGAAATTTGAAGAACTGCAGGAAAAACAGTTTCTAGAAAGAAAAAGAGATAAAAGAAGCTGAGGATCGAGAAGTGGGGTTGGAAGATTGAGGTAGGTGACGGTAATGAGTGAAAGAAAGGAAGAAGGAAGGAAGGATAGATAGACAAAAGAGATCAAACCCGGCGGCGAATCGTTTCTTACAGAGAACCCCTTTTAGGGTTTTGTTTTTCAACTACTACATGAGAGAGGATTAAATACACGTATTGAAAGTGGTTTTATTTTTATCTGCCTATTTAATTTTTATTAATTAATAGTGGATTAAATAAATAATTAATATGTTTCTGCCAATTGTGCACAGGTACTGCTACCATAAATATATATATTTATATGCTTTTCTGGTTTTTAGCTTTTGGGCAAGTGATAATTATTTAATTTTTGTTTTGGCTAAAGTTTTGGTAAGTGATAATTAATGACGAATAAATAATATCCCATAATAATAGGGGCGTCCAATTGACCAAGTGATAACCGACTGGTGTTTAGTGATGAAAGAAAGAGAAAATTTAGGTCCATTTAGAGAAGAGCAGAGACGGGTAGAGAGGGAATTATCAATTATGAGGTGTTTGTATTCCTCCGTTGTGTTTCCATAACACAGAGGAATCGGTGGATGCCACGTCAACTCTGTAGATTCGGGGAGAACTCCAGACCCGACTGCCCTTCTCTGCTCTGTGTTTTGAGGCCCATTTGCTCAAAAATGGTGGTGTAGGCAGCTTCCCATTCTTTTTCTCTTGCGATAAGGGAGGGATGGTAGGCTAGGCTCTGGTACAAGATCTTAAAGACCATTTTTGTTGGACTTCCATTTTACTTGTTTGGAAAGAAAAATTGCTGCTGTATTTTTTATTTATTATTTTATATATATCAAATCATTACAGTATTTTTTTTAAAATAAAAATCAGAAAAACGCAATCCGAACGTGTAGTTACTAGTACTATCTTTTTAGTCTCATCAACCCTTTTTCTTCACCTTAAAAAATTGTACTTTACTACTACTCTCTATTGTCTAATGTACAATTCTTGAAGTTTTAAGTCGCCCTTTGCTTTTTGTTGGATTTCATATTTTGGCCAAATGTCTTCTCTTGAAGCCCATTATTCTGCATGGATTGTAGTATTAGTATTAATTTTGCATCACCAGTTTATTTAGGTTGAGAATATTCTATTCTAGCGAAGTTTGGTCGTGTGGTTTAATTTTGCAGTAGCGTTTTCAGTATCTATTTGACTATCGGCCAGTTATTAGAGTAATAATAACTATTTTGAGGTTTCCCTTTTTCCCATCCTTGCTGAATATTAACTCGGGTCTGTTTTACTCAATGAGCTTCCTAGTTTTACCCATTCGGAGATATGGTAATGGGAATGAGCAATTTAGAGACTAGAAAGCTTAGATTCTCCCTGTGGAAACTAAAGGAAAGTATTCCTTTTACAGAAAGAAAATATGAGGAGCAAGTAGAAGGAAGGCTATTTTCCAGTCAGCATTAACTAGATGGCTGGATTTCTTAGCAAAATCTTTGGCATACAAATCTTCTCCATCCGGAGCACATAAAAGTAATTTAATGGAATCACATGGGTAGCTTCCAAAGCCATAAGTGGAAATGAATATCTTGAGTAAGAAGACCTTGTACTTAATGAAGAACGTAAAAGCATTTTACGGCCCGTTAGGAGACTTGCTGGTTAATAGTACTGCTGAATGAAAAAATTTTAGTGAGATCATGTATGTTACGTGATAGACGTAGGGGCGGTATCTGGGATAAGTGGGTTATTCGTTAAGACCTAATAGAGGCTTCCCTACTAACTTTCCCGTAGTCCCATATCGATTCTAAGGGGTTTGGGGTCGGGTAGTTAAGTCCCCAAGTTTGCCTCAAAAGTTATCGACTTTTGGGGTTAAATTTGGGATTATGTTTAATTAACTAACTTCAAAAGTCTGATACAAAAAAAAAATGTATGTTACGTGATAATATATTAATAGTTTAATATCAATCAAAAATTATTGACTACTATCGTGAGTCAACGCTTATATGATAGTAAATAATATGAATAATTCATCAAAATTTTTTGACTATAGATGATTGATATTAGTACATTATCTGATATATTACGTGGCATACCTGATGTACCTAATGCTTATTCTTTACATGATGCAATTTATCGGGCAAAAGTGTTTACTATTTACCAACTGAAATTGTGTCATATAAGATGTTGGTTTCTTTTCTTTTTTTTCATGTCCTCAAGAAACTGAAAATCTAAATGTAGAGTCACAAATTATCTTCAGATAAACTTGGATATATTAAGGAAAGATGATGGTGACACGCAATAATTTGCTGCAAATATAGAAGGCGACGGGTGTTTAACCTCGTCTTGTGAGGAAAAACTATACAGATGTTTTGAGTTGCGTATTCTTCAATTAAACTGCATGTATTCGATTGGTTGACCTTGCCAGACTTCCAGTACGTGGCGTGCAGAGCTCGTGGAATTGATTTTGGAGCACGGGGGCGAGTACAATGCTGAAGACCTTGGTCCTTGGGTGGAGGCCCTAGACTTACAAAAGCCCAATATGAGTGGATGGGCCTGTTATGCCTAGCAGGACAAGCAGCCTTGGCGTTTGATATAAATTATTGGAAAATGATGGTTACGAGCATATTGACAGTTAAGTCATTGGCGCAAATTTGTCTGTTCGGACTGGTGATGGGATCCCTAAAATTTCTATGAACGCCAAGCATGCTTAACGTGGATGAGAGACAATTTTAGTTAAAGACCAGTCTTCTTTGGGCACAAAAGCCCAGTGAAAAGAAGTGTACGGAGAAACTATACGACAACTTTGGGTATTCTAAAGAGCACAGACTCTTGGCAATGGAAATTTGATTCTTTTGGACAGCAACAAGGTGTCGAGCGGAAGTTTTCGTAGCTCACCAAATAAAAATAATCCCTGGTGACTCTAATAAATTCAAAACCTTAATTTGGCCATGAGCAAATAGGTCGAGCTCGCTCTTGTTTGGAATTGTGGTTTGGCTCCTCTGTGGAATTAAAGCAAGCGCGATTTTGATGCTAACTGAGTTTTGGGATTATTCGATGGCAATAACAAAGTTGCCTAGTCTATGTCGAGTGGGCATTTTTAGACTCTTTAGTGATGTTGAGTTCAAACAACCCAGCCTTCACCGAGATGGAAATTTGAGAACCGCTGATCTTTGACTCAATGGCTACCAAAAGAGATTAAATCCCTCTTTGGACTGCAGGTCAGGGGTTTAAACTTTATCTGTAGTGAAAATTTTCAAAGAAAGTACCAGAATACCTTTTTTATTTAATCAGATCTATATATCTAGTAGCCCCTTACACATCAATGTAGAATATGATAGATTAGGTGAATCCCTTCCCTATAGAATATGATATATTAGATTAATAGGAATGTTATCGTTGCGAAAAAAAAATCGTGTTGAATAGGATAAATTAGGTTTTAGGAATGTTATCGTTGCGAAAAAATCGCTCCGTTTGGATTAGTTTCTTTTTAAGCTGTTTTTGAAATATTTTATTGTAATAATGTAGTTAAAAAACTTTTACTGTAAATGTTTTTTATACTGTTTTTCGAGTGTTTTGAAAATATATTTTGGGATATTTTTAAATTTTAAAATTTTAATGAGTCCACCCCTGCTCTTGCTCTCTCCCCCTCCCTCCTCCCTAACCTCTCTCACCGCACCCTCCCCTCCCATCTCTCAGATCACGGATCGCGACTAGAAAATGGTCACCACATGCAACCAAATCTGGTCGCGATGGGAGAGGGGGAGGGGGCTATTGAGAGAGGCGTGGGGAGGAAGGAAAAAAAGAGGAGAAAAGAGAGGGGAAGAGGGAGGATGAGGAAGAATGAGGGGGAGGAAAGAGGGGGAAGGGGCGGCGGGTGACGGTATGATTTTGATGGTTGGTAGTGGTGGTGATAGTGGACTTAGTGGTGGTGGTGTGTATTTTTTTATATATTTGAAATTATTTTTGATATATTGTATGGATGTGATGTTTTTAAAATTATTTTTATTTATATATTAATATAATATATAGTCTATAAAAAACTTGTTTTTCAAATAACGAGGAATCCAACGAGCCATTAATGAAAATTTGAGAATATGCTTGACAGATGGACAAAATATACTAATATTACTCATGAATGAGAATCAAGCCTGCAAGCAATGTGTTCGGTTTGGGAGAAAAGGGCAGGGTGCAACATGTGTGTCATATGGCATGTTGTGCGATGCACGAGTACTAATTCCCAGTTATTATCTGCCACTAGCCATATTTGTTATTCCCTGTGTTTCCGGTCCCAATTTGACTTTGTGAATATAGATCACAAAATGTAAGGCCTTCACAAGGACAATTTCCACTTTGTACCACAAACTTTCATTATAAATACCTCTTTACCATAAAGTTACCAAAACTTACCACATTATGCTGTGAATATTCATCTCCAAAGTTACAAATTATCCTAAATTGCTTGAATCTTGCACATCGTGAATGAAAATATATAAACAATAGAGCTAAACTTAGCCTGATACAAGAAGCTCAATTTTTTGTTTGCATACCATACAAAGAGAGTTCAAGTTCGTTTAAATATTAAATGGACAAAAATTATTTTCTCAATTTGAATTAATTAACTCAAACCTCAGAAAACTTAACGAATAACGGCAATTTATGTTTGTTTAATAATACTTGAACGAAATCATTACCTCTACGTATAAGATATGAAGTAAACACCTAAACTCGTGCATTTTTTTTTTTTTTTTTAGGCTTTTAGCTGAAAGTGGTGTGTAGTCATTTGTTGATGGTATATTTTCATTCGCAGTGTGCAAGATTTAAAATAATTTGGGGCTAAATTGGTAAAGGCGGGGTATGATATGTCCAAAATAAAATATAAAGGCGTAATTTATGAAGTTTTGATAAAATTGGGATATAAAGTGTCAAGAATAAAAACTCGAGATGTGAAGTGGAAATTACATAAAAGGTACAAAATGGGATTAGTCCTCTAAACAAGTTACTATATCCTACAAACACACTGTCTAGAAATATTCTAACATAATCTTATATCTTGTTAAAGTTTCAGTAGATCAATTCTTTTTCGACAGCATTTTTATTTTAAATAATATTTTACTTGCATCACAAACATAATTTATCATCAACTTTTTATCTTCTGGATCACTTTTTTTTCTAT